TGTGTGTGTGTGTGTATATGTGTATATATATATGTGTATATATATGTATATAATATGTCCACGTTCCCAAAAATGGTTTGATTAAATGCAACAACCGCTTGCAATACCTCAGGCTCCTTCCTGTGTGCACGCGGGCAGTAGTAGCACCCGTATTTTAAAAACTTTGCGTATTTAAACAGGAGGAGGCGCAGTCTAACTGTGTTTCGTCACATATTGCCGGAAAAACGTAAGGAGTTGGATATGAATTAGTTTCTGCAAATAAAAAAGAAGTAAAGAAAAAAAATCGAGGTAAAATAAATTACGAATCTCTGGGGCTAAAGGTAAGCTAACGCTAGCTTATGCTAGTATCTAATGCTAAATGCGTCACAAGCGACAGTTTTTTTTGTGTGTTATTTTTGGTCAAAATTGCAGAAAAATGTACCAAGATTAAAACTAACCWAACAATTCAATGCCAAACACGTGCAAACAAATTAAAACAAAATAAGTGTTAGGTTTTTCAGTTAGTCTGGTGTCTTTCTCTAATAATCCTTGCTAATCAAGTTGATTAGCATTTAGCTATCAAATTTTAGTTTTCTTGACCATAATTGTTTTAACTAGGTTGCAATCTTGAATCATAATGAATGCAGAAAGTAATTAGCTGTAGTCATATATCCATTGAATATTATGAGTTTGTTTTAAATATGTCAAAATAGTTCATGAGATATTTTGCTAACAGGCAGACAATCAGATTGAATGGGATGGAGGATTAAATAGCTAAAGCTAAATAAGTATAAATGAGTTGAAGTTGAGGGAATAAAAATGTGCTATAAAGCATATGCTGCTTTATCAAGATTATTTAAGACAGACCTAAATAAAAATAATTTTCATTCTTTCCTTTGCAGAAGTTTTGGGCTGTGTTCATCTGCTGCTGCTTCTCATCACAAACATCCAGACGAGCTGAATGAAATGCAACTAAAGGAGGTACGACTATTTTTATTCTTCTGTTTATTTGTCTCTTTTCCTATGTGAACTCATTCACAATTCAGCTGTGTGAAAAAGTTTCCACGTCTMGTTTTGTTGTCTCTGCTGCACCAGAAACCGGTGCTGTTTCTCCTACATTAACGTCCATCAGCTGTTCCACTGAGCTTCAAACTCGGGCTCTGAGTGACGCTGTCAATCACAGCGGTGTGTCGTTGGGTGTGTTTGTGCTGAGCTCTGGTTTGAAGCTTCTCGCTGGATGTCTGACTGAGAACATACTGTCCTCCAGTACAAGCTGGACTGTTTTAGAAAGTAAATGTAGGTTTTCTGAGTTCCTCTGAACTCTTCTGCTCAGAGCTATAAATAACAGAGTAATTGCTCATAGTGTTTACAGCTTAGCTGCCTGACCTCAAGGTGTCGACTTTGGTGTCATAAAAATGTAATACTTTTAAAGGGAAATGGCCCAGAGGTGCCTTTGTGGTCCTTTTCATTAGATTCAGCACAACCTTATTATCGACTCGAGACCATAATTCCACAATTTTGCCACATAAGGTGAGCTTCGTCTAAAACTCTGGCATGAAAAATGGTGAGTGATGTGCACTCTTTTAAGGAATTATTTGTAGTGGGGCAGCATGATGGCTCAGAGCTTAACACTGATGCCTCACAGCTAGATAAAGGTCAATAAAAAATAAAAAATGCTTCAGCTAATGTCACGTTTAATTTCACCTTTTTTGCAAAAGAGGAACAGAGCTTGGAAAAAATGCTCAAGTGTTTTATTAACGTTTTAGAGTTTTAAATGTGTGAGTTTTTTTTTCTTTTTGGTTTTCTCTTCATTTGGGGTGAAAGATGTGGCTTTTTTATGTCATATGTTCGTTCTGATGCAATGCAGACTCAAACCTGCAGCCTTACAGGATTGTGGCATTGACCACAGCTCCTTTAATGTTTGAGCTCATAATGTAAACAATGACGTGGTTGCTGCAAATTTTATAAATATGTGATTTTTTTAAACACAATTACAGAAATTCAGTATATTTCTACTTTAACGTTTTTGTCATGTCTCTGCTCCGATTTTCAGCTTTACATTGATTTCCTGTGAAGAACTGCTTTAGAGTTTCATCTTTTAGAACAGGACTTTTAAAAAAAGACCAGAAGAGAAGCTTTAAGTTTTTTTTTTTTTTCAGAGCGTCTCTTGCTTTACCCCAGGGATCTCCAAACCCTGCAGCTCCAGAAGCTTACAAAGCTTTCTCTTTACCGCGGGGATGGGATTGTGGGAAGCTCTCGACAGCTGCGAACAACACAATGGGTCTGGGTCGTGCGGACCTCAGATAGCACATGAGTCTAGTAGCAGGACAGGACACAGAAATGTCCTCGAGTACCAAAGAAAGCAGCAGGTTTTTAGTCAATCAGCTCTGCTTCTTTATTTTATTCTATTTGGTCTCTTTGGTGTTTGTAAAATCTTTCTCTTGGCAGGAAACCGGAGCAAATGTTTCCCTTGTGTTGCTTTAGCTGTGGATTATGGGTATGGCGCATGCTACAACACTCGAGCACATGAAGATTATGAATGTCGTTTAAGTAGCAGAGCAGTTTGAGTAAATGCGATGCTTCACTTTATCCACCAGCTGTTATCTGAGACGGAGCAGGTTGTTCTTCCTTATTGACGGTTCGATGAGAGAAGCGAGGCTGAACCCAGACGCCTCAGTTTAATGTTTAAAAATGTGGTGGTATTATAAATTTTCTTTAGACTTGGTGGCAACTTTCTCCTCTCAGTGTGGAGGAGCAGGGCCCAGCTAACCTTCACAGAAAACACATTTTAACCTCCTGTAGCTGTGATGTTATTCCGTCACTAGAGTTCATGACCATATGTGAAGGTAGGAATGTAGACAGGTAAACGGAGAGCTTCACCTCATCTCTCTCTGGAATACAGAAATTTTGGGGAAAACAAGTGAAGTTTTAGCATTTAGCAATATGTATTTTTAAAATGAAAAAGCAAATGATCAATAACTACACAGACTCTGCAGTTAACCTTAAAAATAACAACACAAAATAGGCTTAAACTCAGTCAGTTTTATAGGTGTTGACCTGTGGTTTGGTGTGGTAGTAGCTAAGACTGAACCTCAACACACAATTTGATGGCTAACATGTTTTCTTAAGTAAACTTTCTTATTTTACATTATGCCATAAAATATTTGGATTGTTGGCAGGTTGTCGGGTGCAGTGAATTAAACCAGAGGCTGGATTTTTAAATCACAGCTGTAGACTTTAAGTTATATTATTAAAGACAGAGAAATGAAAATGAAGCTTTCATTCAGCCTCCTGAAGCATCTCTCTGCTCCACCTCTGTACTTTGTTCTTTGCTGAAATAACAAAGAGTGTGACTCGAAGGCAAAAGTGTAACGATACATTTTCTGCCTGCTCTTTC